ATGCGGTAGAGACACCGACAATATCAGTTCAAACTGTTCAGACAAGCCCAAACGGTTGTTTATCACTACTACTACTACTACTACTACCACCAAAAGTTACCACCAAAAGATAGATGGAGATAAGAAGAGGAAGACGAAGATGTACTGACTGAAGTCACAATTTGGCAGTGCCTCACACATTTCAAACGCTCACAACAAGTGAAAGTAAAGTTGTCAAGTGCGAGTGATGTGAACGGTGAACTTTGCCTGAGCTTTTGCCTGCCTCTCATTTTCTTTCTCTCTCTCTCTCTCTCTCTCTCTCTCTCTTTCTTCCGACTAAAAATATAACATTACCACCCGCAGAGATAAGAGCAGTAATAAGGAGATGAATGTAGAGCAACCGTTGCTGATGCTGAATAAAAAAAATAGTAAAGAAGCACTTGCCAACTCTGGTGAAAGCAAAGTGGAGGATGAGGAAAAAAGATGTAGAGGCATCTTTATTCACTAGTTAACTAGCTAACACTAGCGTACAGGCAAAAAAATCTGGTGACTAAGGATTTGAGCATCAGCAGACACAGGCACCAGCACCAGCGTCAGCGGCTTTTTTGTTTGTTGTTGTGCCACTGCAAAAAGTAGTGTGCGGCATCTTCTTTTCCTTCTTCTTCTTCTTCTTCTTCGTCTTCTTCTTGTTTTGATTGTCTGACTTGCGCCCCACAATATAAAAAGTGTTACACAAGCAGAGGCTGAAACAATCGGCTGCTGCTAACTTTTGATGCGCCAATTAAAAATTTAGAGCCTGCTAAAAACTGTAGCAAAAAAAAGTAAATCTTTTTTTGTTGTCTAAAAATTGAAATATTTGTACTGTAAAAAATATTTTGCATATAAAACTTGTCGCCATTTTTATCATCAAAATTTTTTAAACTTACTTTTGACTGCTAATTTACAACAAAAACAAATTTAATTCTGACTTATCATCATCATCATCATCAAAAATGGGCTGCCCACCGCCACCACCACCAATAGCAAAAGCAGTTCGCCTTTCCACTCTTCCACTCTTCCACTCTTCAGTGATACTCTCTTTGATTGCTGTTCTTCTCTTTCTCTCACCGATCATTACCTCCACTGAGGCAGCCGTCATTACTCCCTCATCCTTCTCCTCCTCTTCTTCTCTACCTTTGTCCTTAGCGTTAACTGCCGATGAAAAACAGCCAAAACAAAGCAGCGACCTCACTTTGACCTCTCACCCTGACGCTGCTGCTGCTGCTGCTGCTGCTAATGACAATAGCCATGGCAATGACAATGAGAAAGACAAGGACAGTGACAACCACCACAACAACAACAGCGACCTGTGTCTACTTTCGGCGGACAAGTTCACCGCCTCGTGCAATGACCTGAAGCGAGCGGGCATCGCCATGAACCGTGACGGCCTCACCGCCGACGACTGCGCTCAGGTGCAGGCGTACAACGGCTGTCGGAAGGAGCTGCTGGCGAGGGAGAATGCCATCAGGCAGTGTCGCCCCTTCATCGCCGCCAAGATTCGCCAGATGGACGAGAATATCGACAAGTTCTGTGCGCCGGTTTTACTAGCTGCCAGCGCCGCCGATGCCAATTCAGCGATTTCTTCACGGTTGCTGCTGCTGGGGAAAGGAAATTACGCTGTTTTGCTGTTGATTACCTTTTTGGCCTGTCTGCTGAATATGGGCGGCGTCAGTTTGCGTAACTAATGTGCTTTCTAATATGCTTTCGCTAAATCGTTTTCTTTTTTTTCTATTTATTTGTATGCCTGCTTTTTTCTTATTTTTCAGCAGCAGCAGTTTAACTCAAGACACACATGTGTTTGGTTTTAAGCAAAATTGCAAACAGAACACAAAAAAGTTCTTTTGTACTGTACCTTTTAAACAGAAGTTTTGTTTTTATGTTTTTCAATGTAATTATTTGCCGTCACTTTTCTACATCTTTAATTGCGTCTTTAAATGCCCCCCTTTTCGATATGCTCAATAAAACAGCAATTTTAAAACAAAAACATCATAAACGCACGAGCAACAGTTAATTATGCAATTTAATTCTACTGGTGCTGCAATGAACCGTTCCTTACAGTTAATGACTTTTTTGTTAAATTAACATAAAGGAGAAACGGGTTGCAAGAACTAGAAGAAGAAAAAAAAGTTTAAGAAACAGTAATTGCAAAAACTGTTTTTTTGTGCAATATTTCCGGCGCATTGTGTTCCTTTTGCTCTCTGCATCAATTCACAAACACTTACCAAGAGCAGCAGCAATAGCAGCAGCGGCACTAAATTCAAATCAAATTCCCTTTCTCACTTTCTCTCTCTCTCTCTCTCTCTCTCTCTCTCTCTCTCTCTCTCTCTCTCTCTGTCTCTGTCTCTGTCTCTGTCTCTGTCTCNTTTCTGATTGCACTATCACTCATCACATTCGCTTTCGATGTTGCCAACTGAACGGTCACTACTACTCACGGCAGTGACTTCATCATCATCAGCAACAGAAAAAGTGGTGGCCACAATTCAAGGCCACAATTTTCACTTGCTAGCTTGCTTGTTCATTCTCTCTTTCCACTAATGTTTGGGCGTAAAAAATAAGAGAGAAAGAGAAAAAGAGAAAGAGAGTGAGAGATGAAAGCAAAAGAGAATAGCTGCTGCTGCAGCTGCAAACTGCTGTGTGACCAGCAGCAGCAGCAGCAGCAGCCATTGTTGGAAGTGCTGCAAGTGTTGGCTAGTGGAAAGTGGTCATTAGAATGTAATGTTGTCTCTCATTCTCTCTCCCATTCTCTCTCTCTCTCTCTCTCTCTCTCTGAAGTAATGTCGCTGCGTTTAATGAAAGTAACAACAGCACGCCCGAATGAAGGTTGCCAACGCAGATGAACGGCGGCAGCAGCAATGGCAGCAGCCTCAATGGTGGAAAGGTGTTGCAGTTGAAGTTGCAGTGTTGATGTGAGTGAGTGAGTGAGTCACTGACACTGACTAAGAGAAGGAGAGAAGGAGAGAGAGAAGGAGAGAAAAAGAGGGAGCGCAAAGTTGCGTTCAGTTAGTCAGTTGGCTAATTTTCATTCATTTGTCAGATTGCCCGTGAGTGTGTGTGAGTGCTTCGGCTGCCGTCTGTGTCACTCGCAGGTGATCAGTCAAACGAAACTGTCGCTGCTGCTGCTGCTGCTGCTGCTGAAACTGATCCTTTCTTCTTCTTCCTCTTCAGTGTTGCTATTAGTGACGCCGTTTTTGTTTGCTTGCTGCAAATTGGTTTTTTGTCGTTGCTGCTGCCTCGGTGCAAGGTTTTATCCTGTTTTTGCTGCTGTTGCTGCTGCTGCTGGCGCTACTGTTCGATTCTGCTAATTTTATTTTGGTGCCAGTCTTTTTTTCTGGCAGCACGATCAGTGAGAAGCACTGCGCCACCCACACACACACACACACAGCCACAATATTCTTTTTTCGACCAGTTTATTTATTTTTTAAATCATTTTTTTTGTTTGTTGATCTGATAGTTAAACACTATCTCATTCTCATCATCATCATCATCACCATTATCAGCAGCAGCACTGCTACTTATTTCTCATCATTTTTTACTACTAAAAAATACCAAAAAAAGCATCTTTAAAAATGGCGAACCTTCTAGCCACCCTTTATCACCACCTTATTCACCACCACCAAAATCACCACAATCATTACCTCCACTCTCTGGTCATCCTCCTCTTCCTCCTCATCACCACCTTAAGTTTATTCAGCACTGCCTCGGCGGCAGCCACCACAAAAACCACAACAGCCGAGGAAAGAGGCGGCCGAACTGCGCGCAGCAACAACTTCTTCGCCTGTCAGCAGCGGCAAAACAAGGCGATCACCGAGTGCTCCGCCAGCTCCTTCGGCGGCCTGGACACCGCCAGCAAACAGCTGACCAGCGGCGAGTGCTGCAACCTCAGTCGCTACACCAACTGCGTCCTCGACCGAGCCGTCACCGGCGACTGCAAGGAATCACTGTCTAGCCTAAAGGAGCAAATGCAGGGGGCGTTGAAGCAGAACTGCCCCCAGTTGGCCTGCTCAGGGGCGTCAGCCCTACATTTCACTTCAATTTCACTGTTGTTCCTGACCACCGCTTCGCTTGCTTTTCACACCTTCTTTTTGTCATAGAATGTAGAAGTGAGGTAACATCACAAAGGTCTTTGGCCCTCAGGTACTACTTTTCAGTAGTGTTTTGATTGTATTTGGAGTCTACTGTATCGCTTTTCTCTCTTTTTGATCAACATCGCTGCCCCAATTTATCTCAGCAACTTTTTCTTTATCGTCATCCTCATCATTATCGCCATTATCACCATCACCGAGTGAGCAGAAAAGTAGATCATATGATAGTGGTGGTGTCACTAGTTAGCGAAATGGTTTTGATCGCCTGATTATCTCATATGCAAAAAACATCGCTCATTTTACTGCTTTCTTTCACTTGTAAAAAAACTTGCTCATTATTTAAATAAAAGAACAAAAAACTAGAACATTGAAACACGATATCGCTTGAACAAATTAGTAATTGTTTTGTTCAATGAAAAACATTTTTTGTTTTGTTCTAATTAATAGGTAAATTAAAAGTAAATTAGCAACAGTGTCTACCTGCAGTTATCTTCCCTTGCAAATCGATCTTTCTTTTGGCTGGCATTGCCAACAACCTGATATAATGATAAAGGTAATCACCACTACTTAGCAATAATTAAAAGCAATTAACAAAAGAATTTTGTTTTTTACTTTAAACAGAGTTTAGTAGCGAGCACACTGCTACATAGTCACACAAAAATGCTGCTGATGACTGGCCAAAGGTCACAAATGTGGGACCATAACATGTGTGCATGACAAACTTGATATAATATCACAGTGCAAGATTAAGCCAAAAAATGTGGACTTGACGTTTAGAAAAAAATTACATTTTTTAAAAAATTGCACTGGTGTCTACTGACACCACAGCAGCAATCATTATCACCCATTGATTTATTCATCTCAATTCACTCGGAAGCTTTTGAATAAAAGTTACAGAAAATGAAAGCACTTCTAGTAGCCTGGGCACTTGTTGCCCACCTGCTACTAAACACCATCACCTGTCCATCATCGCTTGCCGATGACAGCCTCTCCGGCGTCTACGACTTTCGAGTGCTCGACTCGAAGACGCTGCTCTTCAGCAACCCCTTCCGAGCGAACGCCCACCTGAAGATCACCTTCAGGGGGGCAAACTTCAGCCACCTGGAGCACCACCGGCCGGGCACCTGGAACAGCTGGGAGCTGGTGAGCGGCGGTCTGAACTCCAGCCAGGCCAGTCCGGCGAGCAACACCGTGCGCATCAACAACCAGACCAACTACGCCGGCCGGACCACCTACTACACCTTCCTCTGGGACCACCACCTGCACAACCTGCATGCGAACCTCTCATTTCCGGACCAGGAGATCTGTTTTGAGATTCAGGAGGGCGGCAACGATAACGCCACCAGCTGGTTCAGCACCAGTCTGGAAAAGGGTGGTCAACCGTGGCCGTTTAATCGAGGACCCGTCTTTGCCAAAGGTCCACAACCGCTGGTGACCGGATCCGGAAAGGGAGACCACCCCTTCGGTCCGGTGGTGGAGAAGATCTTCATCAGCAGCGGCGGCTTTGCGTTGAACCTTGCCCAGCAGAGCTTTCCCACCATTATCACCCGAGAAGGTGGTGGTGGTGGTGGTGGTGGTAATGGTAGTGGTAGTGGTCCACTTCAGCTGTGCTCCACGGTGCGACAGTTTAAAAGTGACCGCGAAAATCCAACTCATTTTGAAGCAGCAGGCTTTGAGCTGGTGGCCACGGAAGACATCGTTAAGCTGCACAGGAGTCTCCTTAATCACTACCACCTGCTCAGTGTGCCCTATCCTCATGGGGCAATTCCCGGTGAGCTGATGTTCAATCGAACCGTCGTCAATTTGAACGTCAAAAACCTGAAGCAGGCAGAGGTGATTGAAAAGGTGATCGCTCTGTCAAAAAGCGGCGGTTTTAAAAACCTTCAAGTAGTCCTCGAAGGCTGGGAAGCCCACCTGGGCGACTTCACCTTTGACCCGGCTCGCTTCCCAAACCCAAAGTCGATGGTGGCGGACATTCACAAACTCGGTTTTTTGGTGAAACTGACCGTCCACGGAGGGCTGGCAAGTACTTCGTCGGCCAGTTTCCGGCAGCATCCGCAGTTCTTTCTCAGCCAGGAGAAGGACCACAAAAAAGCATTTACCTTTGTTACCTCACAAAACGACACTGTGGCCGTCTTCGACTGGGTGGGCAACTACGCCGTGCGCAACTGGTTCGTCGACCACCTGCGAGTGCTTATGAGGAAATCGGAAATCGCCGTCGACTCTTTTCGTTTCGTAGGCCTGGATACGCAGTTTGGCGGGGGCGTTGAGGATAAGCTGGTGTTGCCGCTAGAAAAGCACATCTTCAAGCACAACTGGTACGGGAGTAAGCACTACGGAAACGTCTTCACGCAACGCCTTGTCTACATGGCCGATCTGCTGCACGAGCACGGCGGCAGCCTGCTGGAGATTGACGCCGCCTATCAGACGCAGTTTTTTCCCCTCTTTATCCGAATGAGGGACATTCCTGCAGAGTGGTTATCTCTTTCCGGTATCATCCCCCAGGCACTGACCCTGGGCCTGGCCGGGTACTCATTTCCGCTTCCGCCCGTTTTCGCCAAGGGGCCGCCGCCCACCGAGGAGGAGCTGTACATTCGCTGGCTGCAGCTGGTCACCTTCTTCCCCTCGATGCAACTTTCACCAGGAATTACCACTCTTTCTCCGAAGGCCGCCAATCTAACGACCACCTTTCTGGCCCTGCACCTGGAGCACTCGCAGACGATGGTGGCGCTTGCGAGGGCGTCTACCAAAGCGGGCGAGCCGTTAATGCGGCCCCTCTGGTACCTGGCGCCCGCCGATCCAAAGTCCTACCTAGTCGGTGACCAGTTTGCCCTTGGCAACGACCTCATCGTGGCGCCCGTTCTGGTGCAGGGCGCCAGGGAGCGATCGGTGTACCTGCCCATCGGCACCTGGAATGACCAGCACGGAAAGACGTACACCTGTACGGCGCCGACGGTGGTGAAGGTGCTGGCTCCGCTGGAGGAGCTGCCGTATTTTAAGCGGAAAATGTAGACAGACAAACTAAAATGAGGTGTTTTTCACAGGTGCATTATAAAAGCAAAAACAACTAGCTAACTAACTAACTAACTAACTAAGGCCAGACTTGGTTTACTTAAAAGTGGGCTTTTCTGCGCCAAACAAAAAACATGTGTGTGTTTCAATGAGTATCTATGCGATTTTTATTACGATTTTCAAACACATTTTTTTCAAAAATTTTAAATCAAATTATTGTGATATAAAAACACAATTATTAAATTTAAAACTTAATTTAATTTTTTGTAATTAAAAAATTAGATAAATGTACTTCAAAATCGCAACAATTTTCTCATTGATATTCGTTGAAAAGCATGCTTTGTGTACGGCGCAGGGAAGCCAATTTTAAGTAAATTGAGTCTGGCCTTAAATAGCTAAGCAAAGCGATAAGTGTGTCAGTTACTGCAACAAAAAACGTTGCAGAAGCATAAAACAATATAAAAATTGACTTATTTTTAAAAATTAATTAAAATAATTTTATTTAAGCAAATATTATTGCACAAAACTGATGAGTCGTTTCAGATAACAAACAGCAACGACTTAACGGTAAATGAAAAAGTTTATGTGAATTTGTTTGTGCGTCACGTTTCTATCACGTTGCTTAATAAAAAAGAAAGTATTAAAAACAAACAAAAAATTTAGGCAAATGTTAATTAAAAAGTGCACAGGTAGAATGCTACTGCATTTAAAACTTAATTATCATTTGCATTAACTGCAGTTAAAGATCAGTACTTATTGAAACTTACAAAAAACAAAACTTTTTAGTAGAAAACACTAAATTAGTGTAAAATCACAGTTAAACTTTTGTATAAAATAATTTAAGTTTATAAAAACATTTTTTACCACAACTTAATTTTTTGCATGTTTTTTTAAATTTTATTTATATGTTGACCATGAAACAATGCATTGTTTTAACCCTTTGTGACATTATTATTTTTCATTGATAGTGCTTTTAAAAGTAGTCGCACAAACCTCTTCTTGCGGATGTTTATCTCATTTATAATTCACTGCTAAACTTACTGTTAGAAAAGACAGTTATAAATTGCCGTTTGAAAAAGCAGACACACCTGTTTTGGTAATCTTTTTTTACTGAGGTTAAAATTAGAAATGAAAGTACAAACCGTACAAAAACAAAATTTCACCTGCAACAGAGCAAAAAATAAAAAATTCAAACAGAAAGGTTTTTATCACTCCGCTTTTCATCTTGCTATTTAAATCAAAGTTTATCTTTTTTATACTCTTTTTTTGCCGTACAGTACAATGAATGCAAAGTTGAATTGAATTAAATGGAAGCAACAGCAAGAAAAATGTTCACGTTTTGTTGTTGTTGCTGCCATCGTTGAATGCTGTGCTTTAATCAGGCAGTACCGTACAGTTCAGGACTCTCTCTCTCTCTCTCTCTCTCTCTCTCTCTCTTTGTGCACTTTTTGTACAAAACACTGTAAATGTACAAACACTCAGTTCAGCGCCGGCAGTGCTTTCACTACTTTCCATGTAAAGAGAAATCTGCTCTTCACCAAACGAGAGCACACTGAGTTACTTAACTGGCCTCTTCATCATCACCCTTTTCCATCGCCTTAGCACCTTATTGCACTAAATAGCTGCTGCTGCTGCTGCTAAATTAGCTGTTTTGAGGTGAATAAAAGAGGTGATTTAAAAAATCTACCAACAAACACCTAATGTTTCAAATTTTTGTGGTGATTAAGCAAGCACTCAAGATAAAAGTTGAAAATGCTGCTGAGAAAGACATCAGTGAAAGTTGTTCAACAGTGGACGACAAAAGCTCTTCTCTTTCTTTTAGCTCATAACTCTACAATTTTTGCAAACTTCAACAGCAGCGGTACTTCAAACAACTTTTCAACTACAAACACTGATGACCTCATGACTACCAATTCTAGTCACTCCTCCTTTTCTAGCACTTTTTCACCTTCATCACCTTCATCACCCTCATCACCCTCATCACCTTCACCCTCATCACCCTCATCATCACCATCACCACCATCACCACCACCACCACCTCAACTGAACCGGATGGAGTGCGCCCTGGTGCTGCACGGCCTGGCGGCCACCTGTCGCCGGGAGCGGGCGGCCAAGGTGAAGAGCAGCCAGTTCAGGGAGAAGCCGCCGCCGCCGACGACGATGACGATGACGACGATGCCCGAAGATAATGAGTCGGCCTGCTGCAAGGCCACCTTTATGTTTCGCTGTCTGCAGGGTCACCTGAAGGAGAAAGAAGAAGAGGTCACCTCAACGAATCGAAGCAGCAGCAGCAGCTTTCGAGTGGCCGCCTGCCGGTGGACGCTGGAGCAGAGTGCCGTCAACTACGGAAGGTACTTTCAGATGTCCTGCACCGGCTGGGATGAACAGGAAAAATGCCGAAATGGCGCAGATTCAACGTTGCACCACACTGAAACCACGGCCGCTGCATTTCTCACTATTGAGGTGCTTTTCTCGCTGATGAGCAGTCTGCTCAGCTATCTTCTGGCGACGAAGCTTTAGATGTAGATGCAGGTGTAAGCTTTTTGTCCTTTGTCAGTGTTTTAAAAGGTTAATTTAATGTTTGGTGATTTAGTGGTAGTTTACTACAGGTGACAAATGAGTTTTTTTTCACTAAAACCTGGCCTACAAAACTGGCCTACTTTTTGTACAACAAAAACACTACTGCACTGAACTGTCACATACCACCCCCACACACTAAGATAGAGTGCGTTTTATTTATTCCGCTCATTTCGCACTACTATTCTAGTGATTCACTCAGTACTTTGGGACGACATCATCATCATCATCATCATTTTGCACTTGCAGCAAATATTTTCTTTCTCACTTTCCATCTTACGTGAGCTCACTCACTCACTCTCTCTCTCTCTCTCTCAGCAAAAAGCAATCAAAAAGAAAAAAGCAGCCGCTGCTCTTCAAGGACAAGAGCTATTTATGTGCAGCTCATTTCATCTTCTTCTTCTTCTTTTTTCCACTCTTTTTCTTCGCATCTTCTCATCATCTTTGTTCTCATACTAAAAACGATACTTTTTTATTGCCGTTTTTTCCTTTCGTTTACTACTTTCACTTCTGTGTAACTGTACAACAGTTGCTGCTGCCGCCTTTGCTGTTGTCAAGCTGCTGTGAATGCTTCAAGCTCAGCTTGGTGTTTACTTGAAAGCAAACAAAATAAAAATAAAATCAAGCAGCTGGCAATAAGGAAGAAAACGAATGCATTATCTTTTTAGCAGTGCTGTGTGATTACTACTGTTGCTGGGCGGTTGGCTGACAACAATTAACACCCAGCAGCAGCAGCATTTGAATAAACAGCTTTGTTATTAAAAGGATTATGAGTATTTCTTCTTCTGGGTAAATCAACTCATCACTGATCGAGCTGATCGAGCTGAAAGCACACAAATCTACTTTCATCAAAAATTTCCATCAGCAGCAATCAGCACCATCAGTTTGCATAATTAAATTTGCACGTTGTACTAATTTGACAATACTATGGACAAAGATAAGATAAAAAACTTGAACAACAGTCACATTCATCATGAAGCTTTCCATTTGGCATTCTCGCTGTTTATTTCTCAATCTAACGTTTGTTGTCACAACTTTAATTTCTCTGCAACACAACAGCTGTTCTGCTCAACCAACAACAACAGCAGCAACAACTAACAATCAAAGGCAGATTCCTAAAACAGCTCCAAACTGCACCTTCTTTCAGCAAAATCGAGAGCTGACCTGCCGTCAGTGGAGTCCCAAGGAGGGCCTGCACTTGAATGCCAGCACTGCCAATTGCTGCCTCTTTCGCCGCTGGTCGCAGTGCTTCAAAGAAATTTTGCGTTTCACCAGCGCGGACTTTTGCTATCAGGAGCTGCAAAGTCAGGTGTCCACTTTGGAGGTGAACATCAGACACTACTGCAAAAAAGATTCACCTGTTGATGATCAAGCCTGCCTCCACTTTGTTCAAAACCAGGGAGCATTTAGCCAAAATGGAGCACAGCAGCACTTGTTGTTGTTTGGAGGCAATACCTTTGTCTTCTTTTTGTTCTTTTTGTTTCTGTATTACCTTATCTCTCCTGTATTCACTCACTTTCTCTGACACTGCTGCAGCATTAAACAAAAATAAAATATAATTGTCAAGCTGAAAGTAAATGCCTTCTTTTCTGTAACAAAACTCGAGCGCACTGGTTCGCACTGTCTTTTTATTACCCGACCATCAAGATGATTTACAGAAATTGCTGCACGCACACACACACACACACACACACACACACACACTTGGCTGACTGTGAATGACTGGCTCCAACTTTATGACCTTTTTCTGCTTCGTTTTTTATCACTGGTTTCACTTGCCGTTTTACCCCGTCCTCGTCTCGTTTTGTCCTCGTCTCTTCATCTTCTTCTTTGACATCAAATAGCTGCTGCTGCTGTTGCTATGTGGAGATGTGGAGATCTGTGCAGATCTGCCTCACCAATCGTTGCTCTGCAATCTTTATGAGTTTTTTCGCAGTGTTTTAGTGAACAATAAAAAAGACAGAAAATCAAAGGGAAAGAGTTGAGAGAACCTGTTTGTTTGCTGGTCACTGAAGTCTCTTAGCTATCCATCTGTCAGTAAAATTCGTCTTTTCTTCTTCTTTTTGCTCTCTTATATTTTACTTTACTCTTGTTTTTCGTTTTGAACGTGCTGGATGATTCTTAATCTTCTTTTTTCATGTTGTTGTTTACTGTTGTTTCTGCGTTTCTTTTAAATGTATTTTTTCTTTTCCTTTTTTTGATTACAACTAATCACGCGGTCACAGTGACTTGAAATCACTTTCAAAAAAAAAATTTTTGCATAAATAAATCAACCATTTTCACAAATAAATTTTTTTTGTTGTGTCACTACTATTTTTACTAAAGAAAAAAGAAAGAAAGTGACCACCACTTCTCCAAAAGCACCTCAGCAAAATGGCCTTCACTTTTGCGCTTTTCAGCAAGCAATCAATCACTTTTCTTCT